CCCAAAAAAAAAAAAAAAAAAAAAACAATGATATTTTTCACAGAGGTAGCAAAAACCATCCTGAAATATTTGTATGGAGCCATAAAAGATCCTGAGTAGCCATAAAAGATCCGGAAACTTAAGAAAGAAAAACAAAGCTGGAGGCATCACACTCCCTGATTTCAAACCAAATCACAAAGCTACAGTAATAAAAACTATGGTATTGGCACAAAAACAGACACACAGATCAATGGAACAGAACAGAAACAAACCCCTCGCATATATGGTCAACTGATTTACGACAAAGGAGCCAAGAATATACAATGGGGAAAGGACAGTCTCTGCAATAAATGGGTGTTGGGAAAACTGGACAGCCACAGGCAAAAGAATGAAACTGGACCCCTATCTCACACCACATGCAGAAATCAACTCAAAATGGCTTAAAGATTTGAAAAAAAGACCAGGAACTGTGAAACACCTAGAAGAAAACATAGGCGGTAGCTCCTTGACATCAGTCTTGGCAATGATTCTTTTGGATTTGACACTAAAAGCAAATGCAAAGAAAGCCAAAAACAAACAAAAAACCCCCAAAACAAACAAGTAAAAAACAAGTGGGACTTCATCAAACTAAAAAGTTTCTGCACATCAAATGAAACAATCAACAAAATGAAAAGGCAACATACAGAATGGGAGAAAATATTTGCGAATTGTGTATCTGATAAAAGGTTAGTATCCAGAGTATGTAAAGAACCCATACAACTCAATAGCAAAAACAAAAACCCACAAACAGACCCCAGAAATCTGATTTAAAGATGGGCAGAGGAACCGAACAGACATTTTTCCAAAGGAGACGTACAAATGGCCAACAGGTACATGAAAAATACTTGTACAACATCACTAATCATCAGGGAAGTCATCACACCTGCAAGAATGGCTATTATCAAAAAGACAAGAGATAACAAGAGTCGGCCAGGATGTGAAGAAAAGGAAACACTTGTACATTGTTGGTGGGAGTGTAAATGGGTGCAGCTACTATGGAAACAGCATGGAGGTTCCTTAAAAAATTATAAATAGAACTACCATATGATCCAGCAGTCCTGCATCTAGGTTACATATTTTAAGGAAATGAAATCACCACCTCAAAGAGACACCTGCACTCCTGTTCACTACAGCATTATTCACTATAGCCAAGATATGGAAACAATCTAAGTGTCCTTCAGTACTTATAATAAACGGATAAAGAAACTGTGACGTTTATATATATAAGAAAATATTATTCAGCCATGAGAAGGAAAGACATCCTGCCATTTGCAACAACGTGGATGGACCTCGAGGGTGTTATGCTAAGTGAAATAAGTCAGAGAAAGATAAATACTGTATGATATCCCTTACATGTGGAAGCTAAAAATGCCAAACTCATAGAAACAGAGACTAGAATACCATGGAGTACCAGGCAGCAACAGAAAGGAACACAGCCATACACACCAACCTGGATGAATCACCAGAGAACAGATCGGTGGCGGCCAGGGTTAGGGATGGAGGTGTGGGTTTGGCTGTAGAGGGACAGCTCTGCATCTTGATTGTGATAGTGGTTACACAAAGGTACACATGTGATAAGGTTGCACACATCTACACACACGCACATAAACAAGCACACGTAAACTGGTGAAATCTGAACGAGATTTCTGGCTCTGGTATTACTACACTATGGTTATGCAAGATGACACCATTGGGGGAAACTGGGTGAAGGGTGCACGCAAGCTCTCTGTTGGTTTTTTTTAACAGCTTCCTGTGAATCTATAATTATGGGCAGGCAGCTGGAGGGCTGGAGGCCCTTCAGGGCCAGCCCTTCAGCCCTGAGAGCCAGGACTCCCTTCATGAGCCCCAGGGCCTCTGTGCAGGGGAAGAAAAAAAGGAGAAGCTGAGGCCAGAGAAAGTCTTGTCTAGATCCCCAGTGGCAGAGGCTGTAAGTCAGGCTTCAGGACTCCCAGGGCAGTGCTCGGCCCTGGGACCACCTTCCTCCCCCTTCTGACCATGTGCAGGGGCGGGGGTGGGGGGATGCAGGTGTGTGTGCATGTACCTGGGAGGGGCTGGGGGCACTATGTTCAGACACAGTGTGAAGCCCCCGGGCCAGGGTGGAGTGCAGGACTAGAGCGGTCAGCGATGGGGACCACAGGCATGCTGGGGCTGGGACACCACATCACTGCTCGAGGCAGCAGAGCCAGGGAAGACGCTGACAGGCAGATGGATGGTGGTGCGCATCCTGGGGGAGGGGGGTTCATGGGCCCAGGCCCAGTGACACCAACAGCTGGCCCTCAGCAGCAAAGAGCAGTGTCCTCGGGGCCCCAATCCCAGGTGAGCACAGAGCCGCTCCACGCAGGGCAGGCGAGGTGATGGTGGTGGCAGGACTGGGCCAGGTGCCTGGCTGACTGCCCGTGGCATGCAGCGGGATGCGGGCCGTTGTCAGGCCAGGTTTCGTGGGCTTCGCTGTCCCCACCCTGGCAGCCTGCTTTCAGATGTGGTCCCCACACGCCCCCAGAACCGGGGTCCCAAGCCCCAGGACGCAGGGCAGAGGGCTGGACCTGACCCCAGCCCACAGCCGCCCTCTGAGGCCCTCCCCGCCCCCGGGCTCATCATGCAGGACCAGTCCTGGGTGGGCGGGGCTCCCAGAAGGGAGCGGGGCTGGGACCTAGAACTGGGTACCTGCTCTATCCACACCAGGCTCTTTGCAGGCTCCTGAGGCCGGGTCAGACCTGCCCCACCTCTGCCTTGGTGGCTCCCAGCCCGGTCCCGACCCTACTTCCACAACTGGACAGCTGAGCATCTGCATGGACTTCCGTCCCACCTGGGAAACTGGACAGAGTTAGGGTGGGACCAGGGTTACCAGCAGGCTGGGGGCTGGATGTGCTAAGGCCGTTGACTTGCTGTGTGTCCTCAGGAAGAACACTGCCCCTGTCTGGGCTGCAACGTTCCAGGAGCTCTTGGACTTGGGTCCCTGAGCCGTTCAGAATTCGGCTACCTGGGGCTGGTGGCAGCGGAGGAGACAGACACACACCGCCCGACGTCTGTGTCCGTCGCGGGTAGGGGTGAATCGGTTTCCGGCTCCGCCCCCGGTCTCACGTCACCGCAGGTGGCGGCAGCGGAGTGGGCGAGGCGACACTGAATCACAGGCCGCCTGCGCACCCGCTCCGCCCGCGCCGCCCGGTAAGCGAGACGTGGCCCGCGCCCCCGACCCCGGGCCCCCCGGCGACCCGCCCGCCGGCGCGCTTCCCCGAGCCTCCTCCGCACAGGCCCCTCGGGCTGCCGATCGCGGCGCCGGGGGCTTTAGAGACCCCATCCCATCCCGGAAGCCCTCGGGATGCGGGGCGCCGCCGAGCAGGGCCAGACGTCGTCGGAGAGCGGACCACCTGCTGCCCCTCTAGGAAACTTCTGGGAAGTCCCCTGCCTGGCCTAGTTCCCCCCAGAGGTCGCCCAGGACCTCTGGCAGCTCCAGAAATCCTCTGCGATGCCGACCCCCGTCCCCTGCGGGCTCCGGCCCCCGGGGCGGGAGGCGTGCCGCACACACACACACACACACACACACACACACACCACACACCCCGCCGGCCCCTCCTCCGCGCGGCCGCCCCTCCCCGGCCCCGCCTGCGCTCTGACCCGACCCTGCGGCCCGCCCCTCCCGCAGCCTCCCGGGGGCAGGGGATCGGCGGCGGCGGCGGCGGCGGGAGGCCCCAGAGCGCGCTGCGCCAGGCCGGCGACCGGGCTCCCGGCCTGCTGAGCGTGCGTCCGGCCCGCGGCAGCGGCGCCCGCCATGGCCTTCTCCCAGGTGCAGTGCTTGGACGACAGCCACGTCAACTGGCGCTCCAGCGAGGCCAAACCCGACTTCTTCTACAGCGAGGGCCAGCGGCTGGCGCTGGAGGCCCTGGTGGCCCGCGGCCCCGACGCCTTCTATGAGGTGCTAAAGCGGGAGAACATCCGCGACTTCCTCTCGGAGCTGGAGCTCAGGCGCATCGTGGAGACCATTGAGGTGTATGACCCCGGCTCCGAGGACCCGCGGGCCAGCGGCCAGCCGCGCGGGCCCGAGGACGGCGGGCTCGGTGGCGGCGAGGAGGGCGGCGGGGAAGGGGCGGCCCGCACCGAGGCCGAGCCGCTGCCCTCGCTGGAGTACTGGCCCCAGAAGTCTGACCGCTCCATCCCGCAGCTGGACCTGGGCTGGCCGGACACCGTCGCCTACCGGGGTGTGACCCGGGCCAGCGTCTACATGCAGCCCCCCATCGACGGGCAGGCCCACATCAAGGAGGTGGTGCGCAAGATGGTCAGCCAGGCCCAGAAGGTGAGCCAGCGCGAGTCCCCGGAGAGGAGGTGGCAGCCTCGCCGGCGCCGAGCACACGCTCACTCAGAGCCCAGCCTGGTCTGTTGGCTGCCTCCCCTCCTGCCTTCACGGGGCTCCTGGGTTTCTTTGCAGAGGGGTAGGGCCCCTGGGTCCTCTGAAAGGTGACAGCGGCCGCCCCATCTCAAAGGGCCTTTGTGCATTGTTGGGGGGTGTTGCTGACTTCCCCAGACCTGGCGAGCAGGTTCCCCAGACGAAGGTGCTGCGATGGGGTGGGGCAGGGAAGATCACGCGGCTTTCTCTCACTGCCCCTCGGGATGGCTCTGATTCACACCTGAGAAGCAGGAGGCTCCCAGGCACACATGCCCACATGCCGGGGGCTTTCTGGTGATGCTTTTGCGGGGTGGCGGAGAGAGGCTGGGGCGGGAGGTAGGCATGGAGACTGAGAGGTAGCCTGAGTCCGTCTGGCTGGCTTGGAGATCCAAGTTCAAGCGTGCCTGCTTCCTGGCCGCGCTGGGTCACCCTCCCGGAGCCTCTCGGTGAGCTTTGCAATGGCAGAACCTTTCCAGGCTGGGATGTGAGGGATAGCGATGGTGCGGACCTCAGGGGTGGGAGCGGAGCGAGTCCAGATGAGGGTCGTTTGCCTGGACTGGAGGAACCTCAAGCATTGTCCGGACCTCCCCTGGAGCGACCCCTGCCGAGCCGTGCAGTGTGCCGGCGTGGGTAGCCATTCGTCTGGCACACTGACACGCGTTCTGAGAAGGGGTCTTGCCCCTGGCAGACAGCCAGGCCTTGGCTGGCGAGCGGGTGTTTCTTCACGCTTCCGTGGTTTCAAAGCACATTCTGAGATGACTGATAAGGCCTCTGCCTCGTGAGCTGTGTTGAGGAGGCTTCTGAAGCCAGGTCTGGGCTCAGGAGAGAGCAGTGAGTGCTCAGCAGTTCCGTCCTGGCCTTGGCTTGTGGGACGAGGTACTTCTAGCAGAGTTTAACACTTTCAGTCTTCTGGGTCCGCTCAAGACCCAAACGGTGGCTTTGGGGACCATCCTGGAGGACAGACGGGGGCCCGGGGAGCTCTTGGGCACAGAGAACAGAAGTGGGTAGGAGCTGACAAGGTGGCCATGGCTTAAGTTTCCAGAAAGGTGGAGTCCCTGTCCCCCGAAGGGCCTGGCCGGGTCAGATAGCCTGTGCTGGGGAGCCTGGCCCTTGGCCTGGTCCCAGGCAGCTTTGGGGCTTTGGGTTTCTGGTCTGTAAAATGGAGGTGGCGAGGATGAAAGCTGTGAGGATGGAGTCCGGTGACTGAGTGAGAAAGAGGTGGAGGAAGCGGGGGAGGGGCCTTCACCGTTTTCAGGCTGAATAACCCACACCATT